CTTATGATGTACTCTGCATATAAGTTAACTAAGCAGGGTGACAATATACAGCTTTGATGTACTCCTTTTCCTATTTGGAACCAGTCTGTTGTTCCATGTCCAGTTCTAGCTGTTGCTTCTTGACATGCATACAGATTTCTTGAGAGGTAGGTCAGGTGGTCTGGTATTCCCATCTCTTGAAGAATTTTCCAGTTTGTTGTGACCCATACAGTCAAAGGCTTTGGCATAGTCAATAAAGCAGAAGTAGATGTTTTTCTGGAATTCTCTTGCTTTTTTTATGGTCCAACAGATGCCACGAACTAATAGCACCCATATAAAGAAGCTGAACATAACTGACACATGCTGTTTGTTCTGATGGCTCCCCTCATAGGTCATCCCCTATCTCCCACTCTTCTTGAGCCTCCTGATTCCTTTAGACACAATAATATTGAAATTAGGCCAGTTAATAACCTTAGGATGGTCTCTAAATGTTCAAGTAAAAGGAAAAGTCAATTGATCTGGCGAACTTCAGTACTGTCATTTTAAGAAAGTGCTGCAGCTATCCCAGCCTTCAGTAACCACCACCCTGTTGAGTCAGCAGGCACCAACATCATGGCAGGACTCTCTACCTGCAAAATAATTATGATCCACTGAAGACTCAGATGATGGTTCAGCTCAGTTCAGTTCAGCCACTCAGTCATGTCCGACTCTTTGAGACCCCATGAATTGCAGCACGCCAGGCCTCCCTGTCCATCACCAACTCCTGGAGTTTACTCAAACTCGTGTCCATCGAGTTGGTGATGCCATCCAGTCTTCTCATCCTCTTTGTCCCCTTCTCCTCCTGCCCTCAATCCCTGCCAGCATCAGGGTCTTTTCCAATCAGTCAACTCTTCACATGAGGTAGCCAAAGTATTGGAGTTGCAGCTTTAGCATCAGTCCTTCTAATGAACACCCAGGATTGCTCTCCTTTAGGATGGACTGGTTGGATCTCCTTGCAGTCCAAGGGACTCTCAAGAGTCTTCTCCGACACCACAGTTCAAAAGGATCAATTCTTCAGCACTCAGCTTTCTTCACAGTCCGACTCTCACATCCGTACATTTGGTTAGCCATTTTTTTTTTAGCAATAAATAGTGTTTCAAAATATGTACATTTTTAGACAAAATGCATGCTATATAATAGAATATATATTTATAATAGAAAACATACTATGTAATAGAATATAGTATAAACATAACTTTTTATGTACACTGGGAAACCAAATATTTGGTGTGGCTTCCTTTATTATAATTGCTTTTTCGGGGTCGTTTGGAACCTAACACATAATATCTCCAAGGTTTGCCTGTAGTCCTGTACATTTGTCTCTCAGCATCTATGAGGCATTGGTTTCAAGGCTCCCCATGGATACCAAAATCTGCAGATGCTTGTATCCTTAGTTGTTCAGCCATGTCTGAGTCTTTGCAACTGGAGCCCACCAGGCTCCTCTGTCCATGCAATTCTCCAGGCAAGAATACTGGAGTGGGTTGCCATTCCCTTCTCCAGAGGATCTTCCTGACCCAGGGGTCAAATCCATGTCTCCTGCATTGACAGGTGGATTTTTTACTGCAAAGTCACCAGGGAAGCTTAATCTAATCCAACCTAATGGAATCTAGTGTAAGCAAGTAACTCATTAATCAATGCCAGTCTAGCCACCTACCTTTTTATATATAGATATAGATATGCAGTCTTATGGAACTTCCCAGGTGCTAGTGGTAAAGAACCTTCCTGCCAATGTAAGAGATTTAAGAGACATGGATTTGATCCCTGGGTCAGGAAGATCCTCTGGAGGAGGAAGTGGCAACCCACCCCAGGAAATTTCTTGCCTGGAAATTTCCACGGACTGAGGAGCCTAACGGGCTACAGTCCATAGGGTTGCACAGAGTCAGACATGACTGAAGTGCTTAGCATGTATGCAGCATACAGTCATATATATGTGTAATATGTAATTAAATATATAAATAATACATGTATAGATATGCATATCTATAGTATCTGCATGCTGAATGCAACCAACCTCAGATCAAAAATACTGAAAAAATATTTTTAGCAACTAAACAATAACAACAGATTAGATTAGATTACATTACATTAATTGCATGTTTATTATTATATATGATAAATATATGATTTGATAATTCTTTGATGTTGTGTTGTTTATATTTACTTAGGCCAACATAGGATTATGGTATTTATCTTAATATATGAGAATATTACAGAAAATCTACCAATTCAATCAAATCACAAAATAAAATATATTTTAAAACAAAAAGTTAAGGTAGGAAATAAGTTTGTTCTAAAATGCAACACTTTTTCAGAGAAAGACAATTGAAAACTTTATACCAACTAGTCGAATGTTAGCTGTGAAACACACACTGTTGTTTGTGAATGCTGAATCTAAATGTTCTGAATGCTCCTTTTTTCTTCTGGTGATTATTATCTCTGCCTCAAATTCTTCTGGCTTCCCAAGCACACCTTTTTCCTCGATGATGTCTAATGATCATTAGGGAAGGAGGATAATCCAGTTGGTGAACAGATCATTGGTATTGACACTACCAGTGTGTCCTGAATCCAAATTATGACACTTACTTCTGCGTGATGTTTCCCCGTTGGTAAAAGCCATGGACACATATAGACAAATTAAACTATGGGCAGAGTGCGCCTAGCCCTGTGCATATCCCCATGAGAAGACAGCTGCTCCTACTGTTTGGGAAACTAAGTGTGGGTTTTGACCGTTCTCTCGGCAGCCGGGACGCTCAGCAGCCGCGGCTGGAATCACCAGGGGGAAGGACGGCCTGACGTTTGTTCCCGTGGGGTGCTCTCTTGGCTCTGCCTTGAGTCTCTGTAGAATCCTCTGCCACAGCGCCTGATGGAGGTGGTGATCCCCACGTCTCAGAGTCACAGCAGGCCTCGCATCTTCCCACCCCACCCCACGTGCCCCATGTAGCCCCCTCAGCTCGTCCTTCCAGATTCTCAGGAGACTCGCTCTGGGTGCAGGAGTCATTTCTAGATTCTCTCCCAAGCCATGCTAGGAGCCTCAGGAAACTCTGAGAGTGACACTGGCACTCTTCAGACCCCACCGTCTTGGCAGAGTTGCCACTGACTACAGTGGTGGTGCAGGTGAAGTGCAAGTTCATTTTCTGCTTCATCCCTCAAATGCTGAAGACGGTCTGAATCATTGCCCATCATCCCACTGTGCTCCAGTGAAACAGACAGGCAGGAACTCCCCAAACACTGCCTCCGCTTCCTTTCTTCTAGACACCTCCTGGAAACCTTCCTTGAATGTGTTACATCTCTCAGCAGGAGTGATGGCTTTGGAGTTTGGCCGTTTTAAAATCTGAATCTTTGCTCTCTCTCAGAATAAGCTTGTGGCTTACCTGGTAAAGAATCCACCTGCTATGCGGGAGACCTGGGTTCGATCCCTGGGTTGAGAAGATCCCCTAGAGAAGGGGAAGGCTACCCACTCCAGTATTCTGGCCTGGAGAATTCCATGGACTATATAGTTGATGGGGTCATAAAGAGTCAGACGCAGCTGAGTGGCTTTCATTTTCACTTTAGTAGGCAATGCCCTTTCCACTTTAGCCATGAGAAAACAATGAAGAATACATTCCGTCCCATTCAGTTAGTACTTTACACATCACTGGGCTGCACGAATATGCTCTGTGGGAACTTTTACAATCCTGGTTACCTTACATTCAACATGCATCTTAAGCAGGTCATTCAGTCTCATTGCTTCTGTGCCTTTATCTGCCTTTCTTAGAAAAGTATTAGATCCCGAACCAGAAATATCCCTCTTGAAATGGTTACATTATCTTTGTGAATGTATCAGTAATCAAAGAAACATGCAAGCCATTAATGTTTTCACTACTGTTATTTAAAATATTGTACCTTGAAAATTCAGTTGAAGAGTGTGTACATGTGTGGTCAGTCTGTCAGTCATGTCCAACTCTTCGTAACCCTCTGGACTGTAGCCTGCCAGGTTTGTCTGTCTGTGGGATTATTCAGGCAAGAATACTGGAGCGGGTTGCCATTTCCTCCTCCAGGGGATCTTCCTGACGCAGGGATTGAACCCGCGACTCCTGCATCTCTTGCACTGATAGGCAGATTCTTTACCACTGAGCCACCTTGGAAGCCCCTCAAGTTGAAGAGTATCAGGAGGCACATTTGAGTTTGCTTTTGTCCCCCATGGAACAGAATGTCTGCTTTATTATGATACAGTTATAATTGCATCACTCTAAACTTTGACACTGGCAAGACTCACCATTGTTTTAACATTTGTCTGCTAAAGTTCCATTTGTCAGATAAGGGATTTCCATAGAAAAATTACTCCTTTATGGAAGAATACTGAGGTGAGAACACTCTCATGAAATGTCTGTCAAAATACAACTGTTTGGGAGTCACAGTTCTCCCTTTGAAAGAAAGAACACACAGAAGAATAGGGAAGGCAAGAGTGACCCCTGCTGCTGCTGCTAAGTCGCTTCAGTCGTGTCCGACTCTGTGCGACCCCATAGATGGCAGCCCACCAGGCTCCCCCATCCCTGGGACTCTCCAGGCAAGAATACTGGAGTGGGTTGCCATTTCCTTCTCCAATGTGTGAAAGTGAAAAGTGAAAGTGAAATCGCTCAGTTGCGTCCGACTCTTAGCGACCCCATGGACTGCAGCCTACCAGGCTTCTCCGCCCATGGGAGTTTCCAGACAAGAGTACTGGAGTGGAGTGCCGTTGCCTTCTAGAAGAATGACCCCAGCAGAGAAGGATTAGAATGGTGGCATCTCTATAGAGTCATGAAAGATAGTGTATGAATCTGTACATGTGGCTATACATATGTTCCTGAGAGTTTTTGTATGTATCTGTGTATACACACTGATGTGTTTGTTCTTCAGCCAGAGGACCTAGAGACATTGTTAAAGAGCATAGTTCCAGTGTAGCATCTCTACGCAGATTGTTTATGAGTTGCAAGCGGTGAAACAGAGGACCAGAGTATGGCGGCATGCCGAGGACCACTTACCCCTGCAGTGGGGAAATCGGATAGCACCTTGACCTAGTTCACAAGATTAACAGAAGTGGGGGTTAAAGATCTTGTGCCTCTGGGCGTGATGCCCTAAGAAGGACAACGTCACTTATATTTTATTTCAGCTTGGAATGTATAACCTAAACTCAGGAGGAAGGAGCAAAGACAAACCGAAAATGGAGAACATTATATTAGTTAAAATAGGACTATATCCTTCAAAGAAAATAAATGTCCTAAAAGGTGAAGAAAGGCTTTGGAACAGGTTCTATATAAAACAGACCAAAGAGATATAGTAGTGAAATTCAAGCTTGACTGTAAATTGAATCCTCAACTAGAGATGAAATTGCTGCAGGAATGACACTACTGAGTCAGTTGACACTGTTTGAATACAAATGATTAGATAAAATATTGTTTTCATACAAAATGCTGAAGTTGACATCTATATTATTCATGTACACATTAATTCTTAAGAAATATGTGTTAATGAGTTTAGGGGTAAAGAGCCCTGATAAGTGTGGCCTAATCTGGATGGATGGATAGATAGAAAATTGAGAGAGAGAATGATAGTTTATAGAACAAAGTGTTAACAATAGGTAGATCTGGATAAAGGGAACAAGGGTATTGTATGTACTATTCTCATTCTTAATGTTTTCTGTAGGTTTAAAATTATTTCCACATAAATTTTTTAAGAGATCATTAATACTCACTTGTTAACGTGAAAAGGATGAAGTTTTCAATAATAAGGATTCTCGGGATTTGAAGACGGGTGGGATAATGTATGAAGGTGATATCAATACCAACCAGAATTCTTGCCCTTCCCCAATCAACAGAAATTGATAAGAGGCCAGTCAACCTTTGTTTCTTGAGGAGACTTTTGTCCAGGTGCAAGTACTGCAGCAGAGAGTTCCAGGTCCCAGCCTGTCTCAGCAGAAAATATTTGTTTTTGAGAATTCCTCCCCCACCCCAAAAGTGTGAGCAGTAATGCTTTAAGGAGCTGGGCTCCGTGGAACAAATTCTGAAAATGATCCAGAGACCCAGGTTCCATGCCCATCTAAGAAGTCTGTCATTGGATGCCATGTCAGCTGGGTTTTTCATATGGCCTTCTGCTATGGAAGTTCAAACTCAGAAGAGATTGATTAGAGGCCTAGAATGTATATCTGTCCAAAGCTAGGTGGTATCTAAGGCTGCCAGGGAATACACAGCCTGTTTAAGTTAAAGTCATTGTTATGCTTGCAATGATGGGCTATTTATTTATTTTGGATTGCAGTAACTAGCATGGTTATTGCATTTACCATTTGCAAACCATATATTTATATTCAGGTTTTATGAGCAAATAAAAAATTGTGCAGAAATTCAAAATTTGTATATCTAAAATAAAGGATTTTCTTAACTCATTTCATAGCCTCATCTCACCTGATTTTATGTTAGGCTGTGTATAGTCTTTAATAATTCTATTATTGTTTGTTTGCTGCAAATGTATGGTTTAATAACAGGGTGCTACAACAGACTTCACTCAGGGTGTTACATAAAACACTACATATATACCATGTTACCTTTATCAAACTCGAGAATTTCTGGATATAGAAACATATCTGGACATAAGTGTTTTGGTTAAGTGATTGTGGACCTGTGTTTATCTGATTTCTTTAATGAACAAGCTTTTTATCCTTGATTAAGTAAAGTAATAGTTGCGAGAGAAAATGGAATGCTAGAAAGTAAAATTGAAATTAAATCTTGAAATTAATTTAAAGGACCCAGATTTGGGCAAGATTGTAAAATGATGACTTCAATAAAGATAATGTGGTCAATTATCCATAACTGTGCTGCCTACTTGAATTATAAGTAGGACCATGATGTACAAGTATTCTAATTGTGTTTCCTCTTTTCCTTCTGCAGTTAGCAGCACACAGGCAAAGGCATACTGGCAAAGTAGAAAATTCTCCATACTAAGAATTTAGATTAAGAATCCCACCATTATTCAGCCATTACTCCTTTTAGACTCCTTGACCAGTTTCCTCAACTGTTAAATGAAATAAGTAATTTAGATTAATATAAGCCCTGTTCTGAATTTTAAAATGGATGATTCTAAAATTTCATTACTTTCTATTTGTGTTCCATGTGTTTACATTCTTATACTATATGATTCTAAAAATAGTACATGGTGCTATATTTCCTTAAACTGTAAAAGATAGAATTAATTCTGTTTGTTTCGAGAAAGAGAACCTACTTGTAACTAATCAATTTCTCTTGTAAACAGTGCAAGTTCCAGGGCCAGTGGAAAACCTGCAAGCTGTATCTACCTCACCTACCTCAATTCTTATCACCTGGGAACCCCCCGCCTATGCAAACGGTCCAGTGCAAGGTTACAGATTGTTCTGCACTGAAGTGTCCACGGGAAAAGAACAGGTAGGCGAGAGAACGGGCCCGCTCCTACACCTCCCGGAGAAATGCAGGAGATCTGCAGGCTCTTGATATAAGCCAGTATCCAGCACATTAATTGGATAGCTGTTCAGTTTTAAAGTATCTGTTGTTGAAAATGTTAAGTAATTGAATTCTGGTGGTACGAGAGGCAGAGGGGCAATGAGGTGAAGTCGGTAAAAAGGATGCTGATGTTTTGTTTGAGTATATAGCAGTCTGGGCCAGTATACCTTTGAATAAGCCCATCTGATCCCAAAAAAGTATTTGCATTTCAGCCCTTATCCTAAGGGATGATCAGTCATATTCAGTGACCTCAGTCAAATTGCTCTTTTCATTCACATATTTGATATTAATTCTGGCTTTTTGTTGTTTTCAGTATACTTTACTCCTGAAGAATACTTTCCTCCTTATTTCATTTTGCTTCTAATCTGTGGTTAGCACAGATCCTGGAAAATAAGCAAATTAGATTTTCAAATAAAAGTAAATGAACCTTTGTGGAGAGACATGAAACTGGACGATTCTATTTTGTAAGACATGCATATGACTGTTGAGATGTTTACTTCCAGAGTCTCAACTTCATGTGACAAAAGATGAAAAGACAGTGGGTAGTTAAATAGGAAGGGTCCAGAAATGACCTTGAGATACTGGAGTTCTTAAGATGTGTTGTGAAGTCTGCCCAGCATAGTGTGGTCCTTATGGTTTCATATACCCTGCAGGATAGATATTTTTCATTAAAAAAATATTTGCATTAGTTCTATCCACAGCAGTTCCTAGTTATAGCATGAGAGTGATTAAGAGATCCTCCTTTGCAATCAATCATTTCATGTTTGTTTACTTTTCCCATGCTATTTCGCTCTTATCTTCAGCTTTCTTTTCTACCCTTTTTCCTACACATTTTAGTTCTTCAATAACTCATTTTACCAATCCATTTAAATAATATTACCCAAGATAAATGTGAGTGTGAGAATCATTGGGAAGAGAGACATAATGGGTCTTCTGGAGCAAACTGGGTCTCATTTCTCAGGGAACTTCACCTCCAGCACCTCATTTCTTCAGCTGTGAAGTGCTGAAAACAATTCCAATTTAACCTCCCAGCATTTTGAGAGAGAATTCATGTAGCAAAGTATCTGTCAGTTTCAAGAACCAAGAGTATGTTTCAGCAGAAGGAGTAATTGTATATTTCAGCAGGAGAAGGAGTAATTCTTTTTTTTTTTTTTTACTTTTTATTTATTTAGTTAGTTTATTTATTTTTTTTCCCAATTATTTTTATTAGTTGGAGGCTAATTACTTTACAATTCTATTGTTTCTTGGGAAATTAGTCCATTTCAGGTACAGGAGCAACTCTGTTCCTGTGGCTTCACGAGCTGCCTTCTGCCTATCAGAGTTTTGGTGTGGGTGTTAATACAACACACCATTCAATCATTGGGTGGCATTAAACCAATTGAAACTTAACGACTGTGAAGGCAGCATGGTGTTAATTCAGCTAGGAGTCTACAGAGTGGCTTGGTCTTTAGTGGAGGAGTGTGTATCACCATTTCGGTTTTATAACAACTCATAATAAGGCTAGAGTGTTGCTTTGTGAGTGAGAGTCTGCTATCAGTTCACTGATTGCTCAGAATGGCTGCCATTTCTGCTTTAACATGCCTCCTGAATAATGGTTTTGGTGTTTTATGTCTCCAGAATATAGAGGTTGATGGGCTATCTTATAAACTGGAAGGCCTGAAAAAATTCACGGAATATAGTCTTCGATTCCTAGCTTATAACCGCTATGGGCCAGGAGTATCTACTGACGATGTGACAGTGGTTACGCTTTCTGATGGTAAGTTATAGACAGTGGAATTTGACTTACTTATTTTGAATATTGAGTTGAGTTGAATGCATTGATATTGAATGCATGTGATAGATTCCATGTTCAAGGTGTCCTAACTAAAACTTCATGAAATAGACTAACATACATTAGAACTTTGGCTTATTCTTCAAACCACCTATTACAGTCAAATTTAAACTTTGAAAAGTTATACACTCTGAATCAGGATGTCCTTATTAGTCATTTTCAAGGTATGACTACTGCCTAGGAGCTCAAAATAATTTTGTGTGTGTTAAATACAAACACATTTGTGCATTCATGTGGGCTAATTTACATCAGCATCTTTTGTTTTTCCTTCTAAACAGTGGTAGGTGATTAAATGTGTTTAAATGATGGACAATCCTCCTACATATACCTCTAATTTGAAAAAAAAAAATCATGAAGATTTAGGCCAAATAATCCAATACTGAAAGTATTAAAACTGAACCTGAAAATTTATATTTTACTTTAACCTTGCCTAGCAAATGAAAGATTAGACGTATTTTTAATGCCATAAAAAAGAGGAAGAAATCTTAATGAAATAGATGAATTTGACAAAGCAGTAGCAGAGGTAACTAGAGATCTAAGAAACGGATGATAATGAAATGTTGGAAGTTTAATGAAAAGTGAAAATAAAGCATAGCAGAGTTTATGATATGAGGCCAGTGACAATTCAGGCAGGTGCAGAAATGCAGAGAAGTGACCTCTATGAATATTAAAAAGGCAGCAAGCTATTTCTTTTCAGCAACAGTTTCCATGTTGGTGTGTGTAATTCTATAAATTATTGATCTTTTGAATTTCAAAAAATGACTTCAGTTTGTGATTCCTTGGCCAATTCACCATGCTTTAATCTTGGAAAGTATCTGGGTAAATACCTCACACAATTTCAGTGAAATGAGGATGCACATGTGTGTTCTGAAGGGCAGTGCAAAGGAGACACGGGAGTAATGTTCATTTGCAATTTCAATATAAAAACTATATATTTGACACCACTTCCGTATCATTTTTAATGTAATTCCTACGCTCATTCATCTGATTCTGTTATTGAAGACAGAACAGAATATTTATTGGCAGAATAAATTACTTCACAAGTTATAATTATAAAAATAAAAGGAAAACAAATGAAAATGAATATTTTACATAATTTATGTAGATTTCTTTCACACTCTGAGTGTAATGCTGTGGCCTTATTCTCTACTTTGGTTTTAAATGTCATAAGTGAGAAAGATAGATTATTACTCATTAATCCAAGAATTATTATCTAGAAGTGTTGCAACATTTAGGATTTAGAAAATGCCTGTCATTTAAATAAAAGGATTTCATGAACCTCATTCAACAAGCATCACTGTGCAAGAGGCCCCAAGCTCCCCTCTGTCAGATGCATTGGATACAGAATGCATGCACTCCAGGCGCCCCTAGGACTGGGCACTCTGACCTCATCTGCATTCATCTTTGCAATCATTTCATCTCTTTTACTTCAGTATGATGTCCTTTCCTCTCTACTGAAGCTCTCCATGCTGAGGTCACATGTAGATGAATTTAATTATAATTATAGTCACCCACTTCCTAGTTGTACTTAATAAAGCCATATTCTTCTTGACTTTCTAGATGTTATAAAAGGCAGATATTGTGAAAATTAAGTGGCTAATCCATATAAGCACCTGAAACATGAGCATGGCATGTATTTAGATGTTTAATAAATGTTATTATGCCAGTGTCTCTCATTATTCTAAATGTTCCTTAAATGAGAGGTGATGTTATATTCATCTCTATATCCCTCCCTACTCAGTAAATATTTGTTGAATCACTCAGGCAGTTCAGCCAAACCTGTACAAATGTTTGTAAGTATAGACTCATCTTTAGGACTTCCTATTTGTGAAACTAATTTAGCATGTAATTATGTCTAAATACGTGTGTTGCGGAGACCTTCGTATTTCTTACAAAGCCCTAGAAATTCTTACCAAAAAATTATTTGGGGCCCATAGAAAAATTGAATTAAAAAAAGTGAAATGCCAACTGTTTTTCTGAATTAATTACCCAAAAGTATTCTTGTTATGCTAAGATGCTTATAAAAAATTTTTACTCTAATGAACTGTCATTTCTAATTTAGCTCCACTTTGTTTCTCTGGGAAGAAACTTTGTTATTGTTCAAATTCCTCCATCCAGTGTATCATTAGTTTATGATGTTCTACTTTTTCAGACCCTTGGGATTGTAGATGTCGACTCAAAAAGATGCACAACTTGAGAGTTGTGAGTTAGTTTATTTGGGGTCACAATGATTACTGCAGCCAGGAGGTAGCACCTCAGATAGCTCTGAGAGGCTGCTCCACAGCAGCAGTGAGGGAAGGCAGATATAGAAGGTTTTGGTGAAGGGGGAGTTGAATACCATTAAGCCGTTGTTTTACAAAAGTTTTTTTGCCAATCATGAGGATCTGATGTCACCGTGAAGGGATTTAGTGCTTTTCTAGATATGAGGAGATGCAAGGATTGAGATCGTAAAATCAGCTCCTGAAAATATCCAGCTGTCTAGACACCTGTCCCACCAGATTCCCTGGCGCACGGAGGGCCTCACCCCACCCTGAGCTCCCTCGAAGAGTGTTGGAGGTCAAATAGTTGCAGAAACACAGGGTTCAGTCTCCTCAGAGGCAGATGGCAAACGCCCTGGTTGTTCCGTCTGTTGGTAATGCTCTTGGCAAGTGCCAATTTGTAGTTGGCATAAAGCATCAATCTAGACAGTCTAATATTTAGTGCAGACTGTGAGTAGATTTGCTAGTTGGTTCTGATATACTGTCTCTTGAAGTGGTTGACATAAATAGGCTATTTATAGGTTTTGTGAATTAATGAGCATGTATTTGCATCCATGCCAACTTGCCCTATTTCCGAAGGCATAGGGACTAGATATCATGGGCAAACTCAACTATAGGAATGTGCTTCTTACTTTTATCAGTAATATTTCTTGAGTATTTATTAGTTCAAGGCCCGGCTCCACATATTTCACAACACTGTATTTTTTCCTACTTTATAGATGACCAAACCAAGATAAAGGTCATAAATGCTAGTAAGCAGCAGAGCCAGGTCATGGAAGCTAGTTAGTAAAGAAGGAGAAGTCAATGTGGAAGAATGTTGAGTTTCTCTTATTCTACAATAAATGTCTCATATTAGTTCCCTCAAGAAAAGTGCTCAGTTGTGTATAAATTATTTCAATCCACAAATTATGTGTACAGGACAGCTCAGGCTTGCTAAGGAGAGGAATTCAAGTGAGTATATGACTCATCTACAAATGTGGAAACTTAATCTAGTCTACAGAATGCTTCATCACCACATGCTTAAACCAACATGTTCCACTGTATTAAGAGGAGTTTCCAGATCAAGTGACTCTGATTGGCTTTAATGAACCTATTGTAAATGATAAAGTACTTGACATTTTGAAGAGAAAAGCAATGAACTATGCCCTTCCCCTCTGCTTCATGAAATAAGGAAGCATTTTCAGATAAGACCAATAAAGTCCCAATAGATAAATGTTGAATTCCACTCACTTTCACTAATCCTGTCTATTATTATCTATTTATTTGTAAATACTATGGAAATTGATAGTGAAAAGGAGGAAATAATAAGTAAAAATATTGTAGAAAACATTCACTTTCTTTCCTGACTGTGTAAGTCAAGAATAGCCAGTGTGCTATCATGAAAAAGTAAGAGAAATTTGTATTGTAAAAAATAGACAAAATTCATCAACACCATTGTGATAAGTACACCTTTGGGACTTGGTGGTTTTAAATTCCTAATACAGAAAATTATCAGATTGTGGTAGTTTATTCTTTTTCTTGTATATTCTTGGCCTTCTGAGATGAGGAGCTATATATCATTTGTAAACTTTTATTAAAAGGACATTTAAGGGTTACATATCGACTAGCATAGCATCTAGAACAAAATGTGTGATAAATTTAAGACACCTTCCCTTTCCTCCAAAAATCTATGTTACAATTTGTATAATGTATAATATAATGTAAATATTCTAGTATCAGATGAAACATAAACTAGAGGTATTTTTCATGTTTGTGTTTTGTTATAGTTTAATATTAAGAAATTATTTCCAATCTTCACTTTTAAAGAATTGCATTTCTCGTAAGCTGCGCAATTACATGATTCAGAGCATAGTATTTTTTTCAGTCTGTACCTATTTTAATTTTTATCGTGCTACAGAGTAATTTGAACGTGGATCATATTAAATTTTTCCTCATTATGAGAATATCATGCTTTTTTTTAGTTCTTCTGATCACACAAATTGTTATTTCCAGCCTATCTTTAATCTTGTCTTGGTACAGTCACTTTATAAAACTTTATGTCTATTAAAACTTAGCATCTGTTTAACCCTCATAGGGAGTTCCACTTCTACCATTATTTCCGCTCCTAGGTATGTAATGGAGGAAATGAATGCAATTGTCCAGCAAAAGCACAAACTAAAATTTTCAGAGCAGTTTTATTCCCATAACTCCAAACTAGAGATTGATCCAAATGTCATTCACCAGTAGAATAGACATATATATATTAGGGTAATTATGTATTATAATACTGTAGAACAGGAAAACAAAACAAAAAACTATTGCTAGTTGCTACAGTATGAATGAATCTCAAGAAATAACAGTTAGCCAAAGAAGCCAGCCTAGGGGGGAAAAGTCAACAACTATGGTTTTGTTTTTAGTGAGCTCAGAATAAACTAAATTAATTTCTGAAGTTAGAGGTCATAAAAGTAGTGGCTACTATCAGAAAGATATTGACAGAAAAGGGACACAAGTGAGCTTTCCAGAAAAAGATACAGAAAATGATATAGACAATGTTCTATATCTTGATCTAGGTGGCATTTAAATGGAAACACACACACACCATTTTATCCAGTCACAGATTCTGAAAGATTTGTGCACTTTCTTATATGTTATAGTTTAATTTAAAAAATAAATTTGCAAAAATAATAAACATTTTTATTGTTGAGCAAATTTATTCATCAGAACCCTAAATGTTAAAAATATTTTATTATAATCTTATAATCTTTCTACAAATTGATTCATTCAGCAAATATTTGCTAAGTGTGCCGCACGTGCTTGACGCACATCAACATTGGGCATGCAGCATCCAAAGGACAAAAGTTCTGGTTCCTCTGAGGGTTATATTCTCTATTTGATAAGAAAATAATAATATAATCAAATGAAATTTAAAAAATAAAGTCTATCTTGTAAATAATAGACTATCTTTTTGAAAGAATACTTGTTGACCTAATTCATGAACAAGCCTCTGGTAAACATTTTATCACAAGTTACATTGATATTAACCTTTATCAAGTTCTAAGACAAGAAGTTCAAAGTCAAAACAAAATGAGTGATTATAATTCCCATCATGTATAGAAAGGTCCAGAAGCTAATATTTGAGTAAGTATTCATTTTTTCATTTAATTATTGAGTCAGTAAATATTAATTGAATGTCAGTTTGGAGGATATAAAGATTAATCAGACATATATCATGTCTTCATAGTGATTCTTTTTCAGAAGGCAAAACCAGAGTAGAACATAAATAAATCCAGGGTAAATACAAGTACACCAGGAAAACATAGATATTGTCCAAGTTCAAATTAAGGAAGAGAAACATAACAAAAATAGCTCTTAAAATTTTGAGGATGCTGAAAGCACTTCTTCTCTACTAAATTTATCAATTTGTCATGAAAATAATACTCAGATTTATATACAGTAAGCATTTACTGAATTCCTGAAGCATTTACTGAAGCTACTTATATCCCTGTTGTGGGGCAGAAATCTTTACTTTTTTTATGATTCACCCATTAAATTCAGAATAGTACTTGACATATAACAGTCTTTCAGTGAATGGCTGTCTTAGAATTACTAACATGATAGAATATTCACTTTTTGATATAGTAAATATCCATTTAGAAGTATTATACAGAAGGCTGTATATGTTCTTCCACCTTTCGTGAAGGAGCAGAACAATTGAAATGCAAGTAGGAGAAACAAAATACCTAGAAAACCCACAAAGAAAAAGAAATTGCTCCCTTGTTAATAGAATTCACTCACCAAATGCACTCTGGTAACCTGCTTGCATCTGTGACACATGGGTTTAATTACAAAGTGTGAAAAGAAAGGGGATGTGTTTCTTCTTTTCACTTTTTAGGGGATAATAAAGTTTGCATTAAAGGGATTAAGCAACAAAAGTGACCATTAGAATGACATATTTCATCATAAAACCACGCAGGTCCTGAAAAGCAGAAAATCTTAAGCCTTTAAAACCACTCCAGGAAATCTCCTGTGTGATTTTATTGGTTCCTCTGGGAAGGTTATCACTAGGAAGCTGTAATTAAATGGCAGTATTTAGTATCACTGCAGGTGCTTTCTTGCCTAAGTGTTTTGGGGGCTCCCTAGATGAATAACTGGCCCACCAAGTGAGAAAAATATAAACAAATGCAGTTATTTTCCATCTCTCCAGGAAAACATTGAAGTGCCACCTAGAATCACCTACCTAATTTTTCTTACAAACTGTGAAAAATATGCACTTTCTCTTTTCAAAGAGGGTTGGGGTTTCTCTTTCATGATTTTGGCAATAACTGGTCTCACCTTGTTTGATTTCTTGTAGTGCCAAGTGCCCCGCCTCAGAACGTCTCCCTGGAAGTAGTTAATTCGAGGGTGAGTTGTGGAAATGTTTACTGCTTCCTTACCTATACATGTGTACCTTTCAGTCACCCAGCTATACTGCCTGGGGTGGATGGCGGCTTCCATGTGAGCCAGTGTTCCAAAACAACACAGTGAGTGGCATTAATCCCACATCCTCCACCACACTTGAATTAAACAAAGGGGTTGTTTTCTTCTAGTATACTTCATTCTATACATGTTTTAACGATTAAAGGTTATTCCATTAGGTAACAGAGTTAGCTACTCACCTATATTGATCAGAACAGGACATTATGTGCTGGGTGGAAAAATTGAACGTAGGAATGAAAAAAAAGTAACTGTAAGAGGTGGGATAAAGAGAGACCTTGTTTCCTGGTAGATTTACTTAGAATTGACTCTTTTATCATCATCCCTCTTCTCTTACAGACATGGAGGGCTGTTCTAGGGCTCTGATAAGGTTATATTTATGAAGCAGTGTTTCTCAGTGATGAATGTTTTCTTGGCCTGAAAAGTTGATGTAACTTTCAAAAGGGCTTAAATTAGGCTGGGTATAGCTAAAGATAAGGAGTTTAATGCCAGAAACAGTTTTCTGGAAATCTCTCCTTATTCCGAGCGTGTCTCACTCAGCATTGGAAACAAGCCTAAGCCATGTAGTAGACTGATCTGGCTTCCTTCTTTCATCATCTGATCATGTGCACTCAAGGAAGTAATTTCACTCTCCTTGGACCTCAGTGAGGAGATTGGCCTAACTGGTCTCCAAGCCCTAGGAGACCCCAGGGAAATTTAATGTGTCTTAGAGAAAGTCATACTTGGGTATTTAATCCTGGCTTTCCCTCTTAGCAACTGTATCTGATGTTAGAAAACCTCCAACCTGAATAAGCCCCAGCTTCTATTATATACTCATATAATGTGAATGTTAATTCTTCCCGTATTGATTTGTCATGAGGAAGTAGTTATATACCATATGCAATGGATCTGACTTAGTGTCAGTAGTTATTACTTCATCCAGTGTACAATTCCTTGCCGTATTTTGCGGATGCCTCTGATGAAGTCATAGTCTGTGATTTTGATCAGATTTACCTCTGTCAAGTGAATTTATCTTTTGAAGCTAATGAAAAAATGTCTCTAGAAAATGGTTACCCTTTATATTTTTAGACACTAATTGCATGCAAATGAATGAAACAAATTTAAACCTAGAAGGAAGAAAAATAAGTGAATTAAGGGAGAAAAAAATTAGCTAAATGGAAATAACCAGAAATAGAAATCACCCTAAAAGTGACATTATTATTTACAACAACATTAAATGTTTTATAGCTGAGCTGTTCTTATTAAGAGATTGCCAAATCAAAGTCAAATAGAGCTTAACAGTTCTTGTAGGTTGCCAATGAGTGAAGCTTGGAGACCATATTGTAGTTTCTCTTGTTTTAATGACTCATTTTTGTTAGAATTTCACCCTCTGTACATCTTTCCTCCAGGTCAGAACATAGAAATTGATATAAGCTCTTTACACGTGTGTATCCTCATATCCCATAAAAGTCTGCTTCAGCACAGGATAAATGTTTTCTTCTGAAGGTGAATAAGGCATTACTGAATGACTCTGGATGCAATCTTTAAATATGAATGTATTACTTTCCTATAAGAAGGAATTCCTGGATTGCAAAATTGACTTTTCAACTGATGTGTGTGTGTGTATATACACACACAAATATCATAGGCCATACTCCTCTATACTCGGCAGTGTTTGCAGCAAGCAAATATTAACATTCCTGATTCTGTCCTCCTGAATTTATCTCTGTAGCATTGCACTACCAGAAAATTTAGCTTGTTCATAGCTTTTCAGAATGAACACAGCAGAGCAGAACACTGGAAAGCTTCTGACTCTCCTCTTCCTCTATTGTCTTCTTTCCTAGCTTTTAAGGTATTATAAATTATTTTTCTTGGATTGTTACCAAGAGGAAAAGAACTGGGTGATCAAACACTGTTTTGTCATCCCCAGTATGTTGATGCAGAGAAAAATACTAACAATATTCTATTCTGATATACTTTTCTTTAAAAGAAAAGCTCTCAAATATACTAATATTTGCTCCTAATGATTACCATTTCAAGGAAAAATACTTGTTTAAAAAGAAACTTTGTAGTTGAAAAATTGACATATTCTTTTTGACCAATAGAATTATGAATTTGGGGGGATGTTTATTTAATATAGTAGGAAGAGTCATACTTTAAATTTTTATTATATCATATCAGCGATTATGGAGCTTTTGATTAGCAGTCAATGAGGAAATGTCTTGGTGTTCGCACACAGGTGGCTAGGGTTTCTGTACATAGGGCTGAGAAATGACTACAAGATATAAGAGTATAATTTCTAGGTACTTGATATGGTATGGCCACCTATAAGCCAACTGGACCAAGAAATCATCTTCCAGGACATGCAAAAAAAGCGGTCCTAATACACTGAGATATAGGACCAAAGGAGTTTTTTGGCCCAGCATAGTGGATTGCCTTTATAAAACTAATCACAAAACAGACTAGACTCCTTTTCTGTATGCTGCCTGTGAACACGTGTTATTTTGAAGGCACGGCTTGACTTATAGATATTATTTTTAGTTAATGGTTATGATTAGATGGTTATTTTTCTTATACTAAATACTTTTTTTTTTTTTTACAAGAAATAACATCTTCACAAGAAGAGATAAAATAGTGACTTGCTATATGTACTTTAAAGTGCAATTTTTTGTTAGGAAAACTTTCTGAAAGGATAATTTTCTTAAGATTTTATTTTGAAAACTATTATTAGAAGAAATAAATATTACAGCTTAATTGATTGGTATATAATGTACAAGCTTGTAGAATTCAAACAGCGTATTAAGTTGGCACTTGACTATTTTCCTTTATTTCAGTACAGAAGTTTGCAGAATAAGACAATTTAGGGTATACTGAGGTTCAAGGTATTCATGGTGTTTGAACTCTTTCAGTAGCTCTCTGAGATCTTGAAAAGCCACTGCGTCTTGGTTTCGTTTATTAATTTAATGTTACTCTCCACTTACTATATATCTACTGTGTGTGTGTAAATATTATGCTAGGGACCTAACTCAGTCTTTCCCTTCATGGAACTCACCGTTTATTAGGAAAACATGGGACAGGAAATTCAGCTTTCATCTAACCTCATTTAATCCATTGTAACTCTTCAAAGTAGACATTTTATCCCCCTTGATAAGATGAGAGCTGGAGAGAATCTCTAAAATCTCTCATGGCTTCCAAACACCTCTGACTGTATTTTCACTTGTTATACCTCTTCTGAATCATTTTATCTTTACAGAGTTTGAGAAAATGGCACAGGTATATTGATTAAGTCACATGGTCAGGTATTTATCAGCTGAGCACTATGGGGTGATTACAAGGAAAGAAGCACTTAATCTAAATAAGAAAAAAAAATACAGTAAAACACCAGGCATGGATCTTTGTGCACATTTAGAGTCTTCAAGCACAAAATATTAGATTTCTCTCATTATACCACCTTTACACCTCTCCACTGTTGAAATTCTTATCCTTCATCTATGTGGATGTCATTTTGCCCACCCCTGAAAGGGTTACCCAGTTAGTCACCCAGAGTTCAGTAGTATGTGATACAAACCACTACAATAGTAAAAGATATGACCGGTTATCTTTTTTAATCTTAAGGCAGTTCATTTCCCCATGTTTCAGCATAATTTGGCATGTTTTAATAACTTGGAAATTAGTTTAGCGATCATGCAATTCCCTTTAACCGGAAACTACCCAAAGGGAGAATTAAAATAGCAACTTCCAGCTTCAGAAAGCAAACTGATCATTTTGGTCCCAGATGTTTTACTGTCTTTTTAAAAGTGATTAATTAATTAATACTTTATTAACACAAGGGGAATCTTAAGCATTGTATCATTGAATTAGCCTTAAAAGGCTGTGTTTCTCAATATGTGTCATGACAGGAAGGGGTTTGTTTGTTTGTTTTACAATTTAAGATTTGACAGATTCAGAAATATTTCACTTTTTTTTATTGGAGTGTAGTTGATTTACAGTGTTGCGCTAGTTTCCGCTCTATGGCGGTGAATCAGCTGTCCATGCACACACATATTCAGGAAGGGTTTTGACTGAGGTGTGTTTCTTCTGTCATTGGGCTAGTGATAAAATCAACAGAAGAGACAGCCAAGTGGATAGCTGAGTGAGGCTTTTGCATTTTGATTCCCAACTGGGATGTTCACTTGTGTGAAAATAAGGAGAAGGGGATAAACTGGAAGAATGAAAAAGGGCCAATTGAATTATGTTATTCTGTAGACCTTCTATTTAATGAGGAGGGCCTGCGTGTGTGTGTGTGTGTGTGTGTGTGTGTGTGTGAAATTGAGATTGTCTTTCCTTGGTTGTGCAGAGGGCGCTTGCATTAACACTGCTTCCTGCTGCATCACAACCTCCCTAAAGCCGCACTGTTTTCACAGGTGTTCTAGAACCACTCCTATCATCTCACCATGATTGTAAATGTCAATCTCCCTCTTCTCTGCTGTGTAAAGGCCTTAGGTAGCTCATGAAAAAAGCTATTTTGGTTTTTCTCTTTGAATCATCCTAGATCCTCAGAAGATACATTTTGGCCACTGAGTTATTTGGAGCCAGAACTCTGTGTCCTCCCCTCACAAATATAGTGAATTTCTGAAACAAATTTAATGCGGAGAAGAAGTCATAGGAAACCTTTAGGTGACCTTAGGTGACCTTTAGGTGATTGATTTCACATAAATATAAATTAGAAACTAGCATTACAATAATGTTTATGCTCACAAACTTCATACTGATATTTGTATTCAATCATAATACACTGAACATTTCTGCTGGACTGTGGTTTGATTCATTTGAATACATTTGAAGTAGATACAGATCTCTTGTATTTTTTTAGTTACTGATCCCTTCATTGATTCATTATGTAACTGTTCTTTGAGCATAGATATAATCTAGGAACAGTGACTGAAAGTATTTGGGAAAGGGCATAAGGG